TAAAGTTGTACTACGCAGTCGCCAGTTCTCAGCTTCCAGCTCCACAGATTCCTCCGCGTACTAAAGTTGTACTACAAAGTCACCAGTTCTGAGCTTCCAGCTCCCCAGCTACTCCGCGTACTACAGTTGTACTACAAAGTCACCAGTGCTCATCTCCCAGCTCCCCAGATACTCCACGCCTCTCGCCTGCATTTCGCGCACTCGACACGCACAATCTCCGCAGAAGGTTGCGCGGGCATCCGCCAAATCGCACTCTCGCCTGCATTTCGCGCGCTCGACACGCACGATCTCCGCAGAGGGTTGCGCGGGCAGCCGGCGAATCGCACTCTCGCCTGCATTTCGCGCACTCGACACGCACGATCTCCGCAGAGGGTTGCGCGGGCACCCGGCGAATCGCACTCTCGCCTGCATTTCGCGCACTCGACACGCGCGATCTCCGCAGAGGGTTGCGCGGGCACCCGGCAAATCGCGCTCTCGCCTGCATTTCGCGCACTCGACACGCACGATCTCCGCAGAGGGTTGCGCGCACAGCCGGCAAATCGCACTCTCGCCTGCATTTCGCGCACTCGACACGCACGATCTCCGCAGAGGGTTGCGCGCACAGCCGGCAAGTCGCACTCTCGCCTGCATTTCGCTCCTCGACACGCACGATCTCCGCAGAGGGTTGCACTTTCGGTTGACGCTGTTCGTCCCGCCCTCCGCCTTGCAAAGAGAATTTATAAAGTGGGGAAATGTTTTTTCGTTAGGACATCTCCCGTGCTAGTTTTCCAATACTCACACTTGCCTACTCATTGCGTGCTTGCATGCTCATTGCATGCTTGCGTACCCATACTTACACTGCGTGCTTGCCGAGTGTCCGTGTGTATGTGTAAGTGTCAGTGCCGAAGTGTCAGTGTATGTAGTGCGAATGTGGTGGAAGTGTCAGTGTGTAAGCGTAAGTGTCGAAGTGTCAGTGTTCAAGGGATTTTCCGGAAGAACCCTTCGCAATGCTTTCGGGAAAAATTTGTAAGTTCTAGTTCCAAACTGGTTCCAGAGTTTGGAGGCCATCGCTATTAGGTTGGAGGCCATTGCTTCTAGGTTGGAGGCCATCGCTTCTAGGTTGGAGGCCATCGCTATTGGGTTGGAGGCCCTCGCTTCTAGGGTACGAGGCGCTTCTAGGTTGGAGGCCATCGCTTCTAGGTTGGAGGCGCTTCTAGGTTGGAGGCCATCGCTATTAGGTTGGAGGCCATCGCTTCTAGGTTGGAGGCGCTTGAAGGTTGGAGGCCGTCGCTATTAGGCTGGAGGCCATCGAATATAAAGCAAACAAACATTAAAGTTCAAAACATGCTCCCAAAAATTCCAGATTACAAGAACAAGAACAAATTCCGATGCCAAAACAAAATAAAACAATCGTAGACAAACTCCCCAAACCTGCGAAATTTGACACTGAAGGTTGCTGGTTTCGTCTGCGTCATCTTCTTTCGCACGGACATCGCTGATCCTATTTGGCATTTCTAGATCCACACGGGCACCCGAGTAGTTGGTCCAGGGCTCCAACCATATTCAGGAAATCACATGGCTCAAACAGATCGAATCAGGACTGGATTGAAATAAACTTGCGAAGAGCATGGACAGCGAGTGGATGATTTTAATGGACTATGTAGTGATGTTGAGACCGATGGACGGACAGAGCTTTCCACAGGAGGTGCGAGCAGAATTTACCGACACCGAAGGAACGGTGTTAGGTCGAGTTAGGTGAATTCACAGGAGGTTCCAATTGCATCGATGTCTCTCCAGTTTTTCGATAGAGAATGGCGACGCGCCTATTCTTCTTTGGTCAGCACTTTAGGCCAATTGGGGAAGCCGTCATAGTTGAGGTATGTTGAGGTCATACGTTCGCACTGGAATACTTTAGGTTCAGAGTCCCCCGCCTTCTCTAGCCCAATGGGATCCTAGGTGATGGAGTTCTGAGGACCGATAGTGGCTTTCCAAACTTGTGCATCGGCAGATGTGCTGAATACGCCTGTCCGAATACCAATGGAGACATGGCAAACATGGAACATCTTCAGTAGATAGCTGGAAAGGCACTGGGAAGATTTCCGGCCAGACTAATACAGCAAGGTTGAGCTCCACAGTGCCAGATTGAAGACTTGCAGGAGAACATGATGCTACTACTGTATCGTGGTACAGTGCACAATGATCTCTGGAGCAATCTGAATCTACAGAGCTGAGCACCGTCAAGCTTCGAGAGTTTTGGCACAGGGTTTCCCACCTGTTATTGATGAAAGGGACCCTTTATGTCGAGTTGGGTGATACCAAGCCTGTCAGGAAGAGAATTACATATGTCAGGCCAGGCGCGGCACAAGGGTAAACCAGTCAAATAATAATCAATATATTGGATGTTTCAAGGCCACCCATCAGGATCCGATGCAGCAATCACGCAGCCTTGATCATGGAGGTGTACAACGTTGAAAGTGCAGTGCATCCAGCAAATCCCAAAGTGGGACGCTTGCGGGTGACACTGAAAGCGCTCATCGGCTCTTCATGCAACAGAATATATATATATATATATCGGTACAGACCCTGTTTTCGCAGAGCTGGAAGACATGGCAGGTAAAAACACGTCGATCCCTACCTCCTCCATTCTCCTCCTAAACCCAGCGAGTTTCTTCCACTCGGAAGACGATGGCATACTATGATTGACCAATGCGAAAAAGAACGATCGTTTGGAACCATTACGGACTTTGGGCCGACTGATCGTACGAGAATCAACCTGGACCAGACTCTTGTTTGTCGACACCAGCCAGGCCAAACAAACAAGCGCCCTTGATATCGGAGGCCACGGACGACATTACTGGCCGAGCTGTCTAGCTGGCATGAGATCAAAGTGGGTCCTGGCGAAACGGATATTAGCCAGTTTCTTCGAACTACAGTACATGAAGCAATGATATAGAATCTAGAAACAAGATCGACCAAGCCCTTCCGGAAGAACCGGATCTTTGGAGTCCGCAAAGACAGATGAGGTTCTTGTTTGTACTGGTTGTTCCCTTGATGGTAGTGTTGGGCTTTTGTGTTCGTGAATCAGAAGCAACACAAAGAATGCTTGATTGGATACAAAATGATACAAGGCGGGCAGGGTTCCAAACCTTGAGGAGCAAACTCCCTTGTTGGATTCTGCGCGCGCCTCATTGTTTGCCGAAGCTCATGGATTGCTTTGGAGTGCGTGGTAGAGCCGAGATCATCTTGTGGGTTGTAATCCACCAGATTGTCAGCAATGTAGTCACAATCCGGCGGTGTTATTTGAGCGGTTCCAATATGTCAATCCTTGTTCAAAGGCCGGCAAACAGCAGAGCCAAAGATGGTCCAAAATGAGGCTGGTTTGCAAAAGAGAGCAAAGTTTGCCTCTGTCTGGGTTGCTGCTTGGAAATCTCCATGCCTGCTTAGCACAAGAGTCATCGTCCAACTCGTACAATTTTTCATGCCCTTTGACACGCGTTTGAGCAACTCCACAAGAATCAAGAAGCGCCTCCAGTGCTTGCAAAAATATCCCCATGCTGGATAGCATAGAGATTGCACAGTCTTTGCTCGCTACGTACAATGCTTTGTCGTTGCTCCATGACAACAGGCAAACACTGCATTCAACAATATAGCAGGACTGGTGCGAATGGAAGCTTATTGTGGCATTCATTGTCCAGTGCCAGGGGTTCAAGAAACCAGAACCCAAAGGAGTCACAATCTCTGAGATGCACACAAGGAGTCACAATGTCTGAGATGCACATCAGATTTGCTAGCTGTGCGGATTCCCGAGGATGCTACGGAGTTGAGCTATGGGTGGCGACAGCATTGCTGCTCAAGCCTGGAGCGCACTTTGAGTACAGTACTATCGTTCTTGCTGACCACCGAATACTAAGCATGGGATTTTTGGTTGGGCGCGCGCCAGCATTGTTTTTTGCCCCCTGCGCAATGAAGAGCGTCCTCGGCATGGGCGTAAGGCCCCCATAGTGTCCTTAAAATAGATCCACTCTCTCACAGCAAACAAAGCGGAGGGAAAACACAAGGATCTCCAACCTCCAGACTATAGGGATGTCCGCATCTTTGGGGATGTCTGTAGGATGCTCTATATACGATGGCTGTCACCCCACAGACGATTGAAATCCGTAGAAGTCGGATTGTCACTCCTAAGAGGAGAGCGAGTCCGGGCCACCATCATTATTGTATCGTGCTATAGACCACGACTTACACGGTGGTCCCACTATGCAGGTGATCACATAGCCCGCGCGCATTGCACTCTGGAACATCTCAAACGTCTTGGGGTTGCTTAGGTCCCCCCATTCAGCGCTGAAAATGATATCTTACTAACGGAGTGCGCCCAAACAAATCAACAAGACCAGGAGACAGTCTTACTCATGTCTGCCTCATCAGTCCTTCATAACCTTATCTACCCTTTTGATCCTGTGACTGAAATCTGTATCAGTCAATTGCATGGCTGCAGTCCTAGTCTCGCAACAGGTCCCCGAAATCGCCCAGCACCCAAGAAAACCCTTTATGAAACCTTACCCAAATTACCTTGTCAAGCTCCCAAAGCGGTCCCCCATAACCCCTCTACGCCTAGCCCCCAATTAATTTGTTCCTGCAGGGTGCAAGGTTATCTTCTTTGGGATCCCTCCTCATGAATCAGATTCCACTGCCTAGGCAAACGACAGCTGAGTTCTTGATACTGCGCGTTTATTGCCGCAGAAAGAGGGACGGCGACATGCCATGATTTAAGTTCAAGTATAATGTATAACACTCTTTTAATGGCTACTGTCACACAGTCATCTCGGTTGATGTTGTCGAGACCTGGCTGATTCAGTTTGAGGAGTCCTAGCCAGAAACAAAAATGCCTCAAACTCCTCAAAGCCTCAAGGATGGTCTTGTAGCGCCAATTTTAGCTGGTCTGGCGTGCGAGTCTTGGAGAAACGCTGCAGTCGCCGCATTAGAGCCTCTCACGACAACTCCCAAGGCATCCCACGAAGATCCAACAAAACACCACAAGCACCAGTTGGCACACAGGTGTGGTTCAATGGTTATTCTGCACAGGTGGTACAAGTCAGCAAGGAACGATTCAGATGAGAGCAGCATGCCAAAGCGTTTGAGCACTGAGCTAGCGAGTGCCGGATGGCGAACTACAAGTCTTAAGAAGTACCCTCCAGATTCTTGCAGCCTTTGCGCAAGACTCTTTGAAGCCTGGGCGACAAACCACCACACAAAGCCGTTTGGGGGCCCGAGCAACTTGGGTCAAGTGACTCACCTAAGAACTTGAAAGTGTTCAAGAAACATGTAACAGCATGTAACAATTAGCAAATGAATGGGCCCTGACTTATTTCCGCCTGATTAAATTGAGTTCGCGGCTTTTGACACGTGTACGCTACGGTGGCGTGAATGCAAATAAAAATGGAAACCATGAAATGTAACGCGAAAATAAATATGTCACACGTCATCCCCGCCCTTCCTCCCTCTTGAAAAAGCATGCGCAGAATCTTTTTCTTTTTATTTGGAGGTGTGGTTGCAAGTAAGTTCAAAAGAACAGGACACACACCAGCTGACTTCCTCCACAGCGTCACAACTAACCCGGGCGCGTCAGCTTGACAGGCACGCAGCTGGGTCCACGTTTGAGCCGACAAGCTAACCGGCTTGCTGAAGCGTGGACCTCAGCCGCCACTGTGTTACATGTAACTCGGCACCAAAAAGTTATCTCACACATCATACCCCACCCTTTCTCATCCTTTCTCCTATACTAAATAACATGCATGGCGTCTTTTCCGATTCATTTGGAGATGTGGTTACAACTTCAAAGAACATTATATAACCCTGGTATGGACAGTTCTGCGGTGCCACGACAGTGATCCACACCCATGGATCAAGGCTCTGGTCCAAACCCTATGGATCACACAATTTGCTCACTTGATCCAAGCCCGTAGCCTAAGACCGGAAATGCGGATCAGTCGACCAAGGCAGGTGTCAACGCAAGCCACCCAACTGTGCAACGACCAGCGCAAAGCCCAACGAAAAGAACACCAAGCAAAATCTCGAGGTACATCTCAATCTGCTAGGCATGCACCTGGGTCCACACTTGAGCCAAAATGGCAACAGGTTTGCTCAAGTGTGGACCTCAGCCGCCAATGTGTTATATATATACTTTCCCTACACCATTTCATGGCAAAAACACAGCCCATGCGCTGGTGCTGAGACCCTGGTCAGTTGAGATTATATAGAGATGGTCTTGTCTCTGCATTGCGTCGCAAGTGCTTTCCAGGATTGAAAAACAACAGTCAGTAACGCCACATGGTCCGCACCGCTCTAGCCTGAAATGCAAGAACTCCTCCAGCAGCACAGCCTGAGAGGATGGCATTTGGCCTCAGAAAGACCAGTTCTTGAAAGTCCAGATAGTAATTGAAAGGGCCTCACCGCTATCTGAGCACAAAACAAGTCACGTGCTGCTCGCTCGCCTGAGATGAGCAGGCTTTTCATGGCTTTTCCTTACACCACTCAATCGGACCTATTGCGAAACACAATTGCGAAGCACAACCGAATGCAATGACGGCAGTTCAGGAGCTACAAACTGAAAGTATCGGAAGTCTGACTTGACTGCATCAAGCAAAGCCGTCTTGTTTCCACAGCACAACAAGTTGTATGTGTTGTTTGTCAGAAATGGTAATGGCACAGAGACAAAACAAACAATTTTGGCCAACTATCTTGGCACACCACGTTCAAGATAGCATTCCAATCCCGCATAGACAACACCCACCTCACTACCACTTCAAAGAATGTAATGACTGGAGTTTCAATCATGCTGAACTCTGTACACACTCTCGACTCTCCGATCCTTTGCAAAGTTCCGCGACATCCGTACGCAAGCTTGACCTAAGCAACACAACATACATTGCAAGCTCAGTGCTTGTGCAGGCTTCACCAGCCACAAATTTCAAGGAAAGCGCCAAAACCTTTGTATGACTGCCGGATCTGCTCCATGGTGGAAAGGGACCTGAGTAAATTCCACCGGTCATTCCCTCTCATGCATTTGAAAGCAATCTGGGAACTTGGCGTGTCAATGTCTGGCGGTGGCTGCATAGCGTGCATGAAGCCTAGGCTGCCACGTCGCGCCATGTTGCCAAACTATATATAGACACGACAAAATGTGCACACTGAGAATGGCACCGCCCATTAGCAAACCTAAGCCAGCTCCACCAACCTCAGCGGCTCTGCAATGAAGCAATGATGTTGTCATAACGATGAGAGCAGAACCCCGCTCAATGCCGCTCGCATTGTGCATCCTTCCACCACTCTGGTGCCAAGGGATGTGTTGCGCCTCAGCCAAGCACAGAATGCTGCATCCCAAAGAATTGTTAACGCATGTTGAGGCAAACGAAAAGCTGTGGCCGTTGCATCATTTCTATTTCCTCAGGAGTCATTTTCCTGGCGTAATTGAGCATTTGGTACCTTTCATTGCAGGCACTGTCACAAGAAGCATTGCTGGCAATGCTTTCAGAAAGGCTGTAAGCCACAAATGGCAACAGGGCACTTGTCTGACAAGTACGGGTTCGATGCAATTGAATCCTGACCATTTCAGCGCTGTAGAGACAGGTGTAAAGTCGAGAAACTGCCTCCCAGAAGCCATCTGGTCATTTGCAAAAGTGTGCAGCTGCACTTCCTTCTGGAATGCTAGCTGTGTTTCTCAAACATTCCGAGCAAACTTATTTGCACCGCTGACAGCCTGGACTCCTCCAATTGTTCATCAATAGTCAGGTCTGGACTAGTCCAGAGAAAGACTGCATGATCAGTAGCTATGTGGTCTGAATGAATGAAATGTGTCCTGGTGTCAAACTTTTGGATTACTCAGAGCTTTGACCCTATTGATTGATGTTGTCCATTTTAGAGGAGTCGATGTGTTGCTGTACTTCCCGCTGCTCGCCTGCACCAAAAAGAACAGACACCTTCAACAATGATTTAGACCCGTGTCTGGACAGTCTTGACATACAACTAGGTAACTAGGTCCTAGGCGCTCTCCAGATTCACTCAATCGTCTAAATTGGACTGCTTGTACCATGGTGAAGCAACAAGCAAATTACTCATAATTACTCTACTTCGAGTGATCCCTCCATGACACGTCAATAATTTTTCATGCCATGGTGAGGAGCATGTTGCCATGGTCGTGAGTCTCGTGGTTCTCAACTTTGCTTGTGGGTCCTTGGGTTGTGTGCTGTGATTTTGGTTGCGTGTTGTGGTTGTGTGCTGCGGCTGTGTGTTGTGGTTGTGTGTGCTTGTGGTTGTGCTTGCGTGTGTGGTTGAGTTTGTGGCTGTGTGTTTGTGATCGTGTGTCTGTGATTGTGCTTGTGGTTGTGTGCTGGTTGAGGTCCGGCGGGGAACACTGCCAAGCGGAACTCTCGGTTGAGGCCCGGCGGGGAACGCAGCCGGAGCTCACGGTTGAGGTCCGGCAGGGAACACTGCCAAGCGGAGCTGGCGGAGGAGCGGTGGCGGAGAAGGAGGGAGGCGGAGGAGGAAGGGAGCTGACATAAAATCTAATAACCCTCACCTGACAGGTGTGGAAAGCTGTATTTGGATGGATCATTAAAGGCAATATGATTGAATAGACGTCAAAGATGGTTCAATACCAAAATATGAGTTTGATTTGGATTCAAGACCATAGAGCACATAAAACACTGAATTTCTGCAATTGAGGACTTGTTGGAATAGGGTAAGAACCTGGATAATGAAGTGCAATTTCATCCAAAAAGAGTTCTTACAAACAAATTGTTCGAAAGAAGCTCTCACTGCATTGAGGATTTGTATTCATGATTCATGTACCATTGGCATGTACTTTTTTTTGTGGGTTGACTTTGGGGACCGACTCTCACTGCCGCCCTGGAAGTATATTGAGTATTCTGACCTCCTGAGACAACTGACTTTGGCATCGTGATACGTTCCGACCCCAAGTGTTTGGTATTCTTTGGGTTGAGCACTTGGCTCTCAAATGGAAACGAGCTGGGCAACACTCGGTTTCAGTGTGCATCTCTCCTATATGTGAACTTATAGCAAAGTTAATCCAATGTTATTCTGCGCTTTATAACTAGTAAGTAGGTACTACCTTGCCCTACTACAGTGTGTAAATATTATTCAATGAAAGTTATTCCAACAAATCTATTCCAGGAAGTGTCATAAACCCAAAAATAAAGAAATATTTAAGGCATCCCGCATTGAAAATGTCAGTTCATGTGTGATAAGTCCATTGATGTCGAACCTTTACGCTGGACCAAACATATAGCACTCCAAAAAGCACAGAAAACATCGTATATATAGCAGAGATGTTGAAGGAAACCGGGCGGGTATCATATATCATATATCTATGTATTGATTTAAGTATCTTTAAATACATGTTGAAAGTTGCTGTTGAGTTGCTTTGCATTCAGCTATTCCAAGCGAATGGATGCGAATGGAAGAATCAAAGCCGATGACCTGGCATTTCACTGGAAATGATTGCTGCCACCTCAGCCAGAGGAGAAAAGAGGTGAGGAAGGCTGCTTCAAGTGAGACCAAGTGAGGCCGAGCATTCATTTATGCCAAAGTTTCTGTGTAAAATTCGTAGGTACATAATGCAATTTGCAGTAGATGTTTGTTGTGTGTGTGTGTCATAAGCTTGAAACATGGGCAGCTGGTCAAGGCATAGTGGTCCAAAGCGCTAAGAACAAACCGTGTTGGTGATAAGTGCTGCTGCTCTACTCGCTTGAAAGCATGCTGCAAACGCAATTGTGATGTGAGGCTTCTTCACGGAGGCTGTGATCACTTGTTCAGGTTCACCAAGTGCCCACTGCAGTACAAGCTTTTCTTGCTACTTCTGTGTGTGAATGCATCATTATCTGTCTGAAGATTGGACAATCCTTAAACTTTTCCGGAGCCAAACCGGAACTTGCAAACGAAACTTAAGGAGTCCATGCAAGGAAGCAAAAGAAACAATACCAAAAAACACTCAAGTCGAGGCCGAGGTTGATGTTGTTCCGCATCGTCACAACCGCATCTTTTCTGGTTGAGGTCTGAAGCGGGCACTTCAGCAGCATGCCTCAGGCTTCTGCCATGGAAATCCCGGAACCAGCTGGTCAACCACCCGTGAATACAAAAGGCCTCTTGACAGCTTCTCGTCCCCGTCACCCGCTCCTGAATGTCGCTGTGGAGCTGAAGCCTCATTGCTCTGCGGAGATTGCGCGACATTGGGTCCTTGCGCTCAAACTGCTTGTAAAGCACACGTGGATCCTCTTGCACCTGAACTGCAAGTCACCAGAGTTCAGCCAGCAACTGTGGACTGGACTGCTTCGTCGGCACAAGACGGCATCAAGAGCTACAGCTACAGTTGTCGTTTCCGTTGCTCATTGTGCGCTGTGAGAAGCTATACACCATATACGAAGTGCTGCTGGACTCACACGCAAAGCTTGTGGCCTCTGCCTTTGCTTCTTCCAAGTTCATGTCATGTCGGCAAAGCAATACCTTTGTTCAACGGTCAAAAGCAGCGTGTTTCAACTTGGAATTTGGTTTGGCAGTGCAATCAAAGCCACTATCAATGCAACCAGCAATGCGAGCACCTGAGTCTGACTTGCAGTCATCGGTCACGAGTCTACTTAGCTACTGCATGTTCTTCCAAAACTGCATTCTTTCTTCAAAGCTCTGAGAATCAACCACCAAATTAATAATTGTGGACACTGTTGAGGCACTTTGCCTCAGTCATGCATGACAAAGTACTAGTTGCAGTTGCAAGTGAAAGGACACCCTGAATGTTGCAAATACTTTCCCTTCTCAGACCATAGAAGGATTTTTGCGCTCAAGTGAAGCTTTGACCAGCTTTAGTTACGAACTTGAGCCCTTGGGTCTTGCACTGAGTTGACCGAGTCATCAATTGAAGCAAGGCATCCTCTCGGCCAGATTTTGACTGAAAGATCCAAACACCACACACTGTATTTAGTCAATGTAATGTAGTCACTTTTTGATTCAATGTCTTGTCCTCAGACACATTAGACATATTCTGCTTGGCAGCCAATGCAGCGGTGATTGTTCTGGATTGGTTGTGAACAGCAGGAGGGGCCATGTCTCGTCTGACCTTCGGCGAGCAAAACCAACTGTTTTTGCTGTTCAAGGCCTGGAATTATTGTCAGACTCCTGATTGAAATCCTTCCGATAAACAGTTTGCTTTCGTGTTTTGTAGCAGAGTGAGAAGACTTCGATTGAAACGGGCCGGCCAGACCTGAAGCTCCATTCCTTTCTGCAAAAAGGATGCCTGCGCCAAGCGCTTCGCCAAACAAATGAATACTGAATACTGTACTTGCATCACATTAAAGCAACGCATCTCCATATATTATGGTAAAATGGTCGCCTCCAACAGGACGAATATGCTGCTATTTGCTACAGCAGCTGCTAAAGAGGAAAAGAATCAGAGCTCTGACATCAGAAAGAAACACCCCACTTGAACTTTCGCGTTCAAAGCTCCTTACAGTCTGGTGCTTCGCGGTCCTGCACCTGGCATGCTCAGATCAGCGAACGATTTGCTCGACAATGGTGGCATGGAAGGGCAAGATCCGACCAACTGACTTGTTGCTACAACTCTTGTCTCCATCTTGTGTATGAAAGGTGAGTGAACCAAATTCTACATCACCTCAATGCAGTCCGAGATCTCTTTGACCTGAAACATATTTTTCTCATGGTTCTTGTGTTCAGAAACGGTTGAAAAACTCCCAACAGACTGAGTTCGAAGCATCGGAGGCCTGCACCACTACCAGCACAAAGATTGACCTTGGCAAACCCGCAACTTTGCACTGGACCATTGATTATAAATTATATAAACCAGGCAAAGGAGAGCTTTCCAAGTCGGAACTGCGTATCTGCGACAAGTCGACTGTTCACGTTCACCACTAGATGGCACATTCGACCCTCTTTTCACCTTGCAGATATATAATTTTTAAGTTTTTCCATATCGAAAAGGAAACATGTTGCATGGAATTCGCTGCTGGTGTAACAAAAATAGTTCTAACATCTGATCATTCATATTCTCAGATTTAACAAACACAATTCCACTTTGATCACAAAACATTCCATCATTTTGGCAGAGGATACTTCAGAATTCATTTGGAAGATCACGGGGAGTCCTATCCCTTTAACGGAAACTGTGTCTGAGTGGAAAACACAGAAAAACAAAATCACACACCATACAGTCCCCAGTTTCTGGGACATATACAATATTGGATATTCTTTGAGTGACCACCCAAGACCCAAACACAAGAAAACAAATTATATCAAATTATAGGACTGGATAACCCCACATGTTAACAACTTCACCAGACACAGGAGCGGACAATTGGTGGTGGTTGGTGGTTGGTGGTTGGTGGTGGTTGGTTGGTGGTTGGTGGTTGCTGCTGCGCCTGCCACACCGAGGACCACCAGGACGATGCCAGGGCGTACATCTGACCAAGTGCAGCGCCTCCCATGCAAATGACACCGGCACAGCGACGGAGACCCAGGAGCAGCAGGGCGACACCAGGCCGTACATCCGACCCGCTGGAGAGCACCAAGCGCTGCGCGCAAAAAACACGCCAGGGCGTACATCCGACCCCCTGGAGAGCACCAAGCGCTGCGCCTGCTACGCAAATTACCGGCACAGTGGCAGAGACCCGAGCACCAGTGCGACGCCAGGTCGTACATGACCCGCTGGGGAGCACCAAGTGCTGCGCCTGCCACGCAAATGACACCGGCGCAGCGGCGGAGACCCAGGAGCACCAGGCGACGCCAGGGCGTACATCCGATCCTCTGGCCTGCCACAAAAATGACACCGGCGCACCGGCGGAGACCCTGCAAGAGCGGCCCTGACGCGCTACTAAGTGCTGCGCCTGGATGCGAGAGCACCAAGTGCTGCGCCTGGATGTTGTTGGTGGGTGTTGTTGGTGGGCGTTGTTGGTGGGCGTTGTTGGCGGTTGTTGTTGGTGGATGTTGTTTGATGGTTGTTGTTGGTGGATGTTGTTGGCGGATGTTGTCTGGTGGTTGTTGTTTGGTGGTGTTTGTTGATGGATGTTGGTGGTTGTTGTTGGTGGTTGTTGTTGGCGGATGTTGTTGGTGGATGTTGTTGGTGGTGGTTGTTGTTGGTGGTTGTTGGTGGTGGATGTTGTTGGTGGTTGTTGTTGGTGGTGGATGTTGTTGGCGGTTGTTGTTGGTGGATGTTGTTGGTGGTGGTGGTTGGTGGATGTTGTTTGGCGGATGTTGTTTGGTGGTTGTTGTTGGTGGTGGTTGTTGTTGGTTCCTTGTTGTTGGTGGATGTTGTTCGGCGGTTGTTGTTGGCGGCGGTTGTTGGGGGTGTTGTTGGTGGATGTTGTTGGTGGATGTTGTTGGTGGACGTTGTTGGGCGGTTGTTGTTGGTGGAGGGCGGGAGGAAGGAAGGAGGAGGAGGAGCGGATACAGCACTAAAACAAAAACCGCACGTCAATGTGGGGAATTACTTTACTTCGAGTGATCCCCACCATGACATTCCAATCATTTGTCTTCATGCCATGGTGAGGAGCATGTTGCCATGATCGTGAGGTGGATCGCTGTGGTTGCGTGTTGCAGTTGTGTGCTGTGGTTGTGTGTTGTGGTTGTGTGTTGTGGTTGTGTGCTGTGGTTGTGCGTTGTGGTTGTGTGCTGTGATTGTGTGCTGTGGATGTGTCTTTGTGGTTGTGTGACGTGGTTGTGGTTGTGATGGTGTGCTTGTGATTGTGTTTCTGGTTGCGTTTGAGATTGTGTGTTTGTGGTTGTGAATTTGTGGTTGTGGCTGTGTGTTTGTCATTGCGCGTTTGTGGTTGCGCGCTTGTGGTTGTGTGTTTGTGGTTGCGTTTGCGGCCGTGTGCTTGTGACTGTGTGTTTGCGGTTGTGGCTGTGTGTTTGTGATTGCATGTTTCGGTTTGTGGTCTGTGGTTGCGTTTGTGATTGTGCTTGTGGTTGTGTGTTTGTGCTTGTGTTTGTGGCCATGTGTTTGTGACCGTGTGTTTGTCATTGCGTGTTCCGGTTTGCGGTTGTGTGTTTGTGGACGCGTTTGTGGTTGCGTTTGCGGTTGCGTGTTGTTTGAGGTCGGGCAGCGCCCAGTGAGCCCGTTGAAATTGAGATCAAGGCATTGTCCAGCTTCATCACTATGTAACAGAAGGTACCCCTCAGCTTGTCGCAGTTTGTCGATGGCCGCTGCCGTGGTGCATGATTGTTGCATGTGGAAATCATCTTGGCTGAAGCCTGGCATGGAACCTGACCTGGATCGCAAGACTTCTTAGGCAATTTTGATGACTGGCTTCATGGCCCCCCTTTTACCTTCACCCGTTTCAGCAGTGCCTACGAACCAATATCTGCCCTTATTGGTCCAACGATCTAGCTTTAAACTGAAACCTTTGTGAACAAGACTGTGCATGACGGAAACGACGGTGTCGGCCAACAAGGCTACTGGAGCTGTGGCTGGCAGCCATGAGCATCACGGCAAAGGATAACTGGTAGTTTCTGCGAGCAGCGGCGCTGTTTGCATGGCCGCCGCACTACAGGGGAGTGACGGCGCTACGGAATTTTGAAATAAAATCTGTCAGCGTAGCTTCTGGCAAGAATGCAAGTAGTCTATGAAGATATTCTGCGATAGAGCCACCATGACGCCAAATTTGCAACAAGCGTTCGGCATCAGCTCGAAGCTTTTTTGGACATCAGGAAGACGAACTCTTGGACAGCGTTGTTGGCACACCAGGTTCACCACCAGGAGGACATGAAATTAATTGAGCTGACAGGAGGGCCCAAGCGGTCACGTACATCCTGCGGAGGAAAAGCACATCAGAACACCGAACCTGTGGAAAAAAGGCTTGTTCTAACTAACTACACAAACTTATAGGCAAACCAGTTCCAAGCTCGCCGTTTACTTTTGATGCGAAATTTTCGTTTTGTTTTCTGGCGGCTTTTTTTTGGACGACGGCAATTTTCCACTCTGGTAGCAAAAATTTTGGCCACAATGGAAAGCAGCGCCTTTTTCGTCCACCAGGTGGATCTAGGTGTAAGAGCCATTGATGAGCAAAACATTGTGGGAGCTGTGACTTTCCAAATACAGACACCAGATTTGAAAACAACCGGCTGCGAAGAAATTTCGCCGGAGATTCAGTTGAAGACCTAGGGAGTATTAGAACTTAGCGCTATACCAGCGCAATAAGATCAACAAGGGAAGGAAAAACATTGGTGGGGAACGAAAAACACTCCGGGAAGGAAAAACACCCATACTCCATACGGGAAAGGAAAACACCTGACCTATACGGGAAGGAACAACACCATTTCAGGAAGGGGAACCCCCCCGGGAAGGGGAAACACCCCGAGAAGGGGAAACACCATTCAGGGAAGGAAAAACACCACGCCGGGAAGCTCGGAGACTCAACTCTCGACTCTAGCGCAGCATTTCCACCTCCACCAAAGCCACAGCAACACAACGGGGATTGCGCTCCTCACGCGCTCCCGCTGATGACCCCGGACGCTGGATCAAGCGTCCCACACCTCAACTTTCTGCGCTGTCTTGGGTACGCGCGCAAATGCATATTTCCTCCGCGAGTTTTGATTGTTTTGAGGTTACCGACTCCCCTCAGGATTGGAGGCCTTGGCACTCGGACTTTCCCATTCATTACATTTTAGCATGCATTTCTTCTCTTCATTGGATCAAATTGTCTCTAAGTCACACGGCTCTCGTTCCATCAGTCTTGCCGCTATGCTTCAATGCAAAACATCCAGCTCCCCTACAGCACTGGCTTCTGCATCGTCCCAACAGCACATGTCCTCACCACCATTGTGCTCTCTTGCCTCCGTCGCGGCCACCGCAACAGTGCAAGCCAGCAAGCCTGCCACCACGCAAGCCAACAAGCACGCAAGCACCTCCGGCATCACTTCAGCCGCTTCTTCCCAACAATCTCAAGTCTGGCAAAAACAACCGTCGCAGCCACTTTGCTCACTCTGATTTTCTGATCTTCCAACTGGAGCCAAGCGATGACTGTCTAAAAGCGCCTCCTTCGAGCCAGGGACATGTCAGCTTGACCGCTGTTACTCCGGTTCGGAGGTGCCTGATCGCTGCAGTCAACAGCTTTGTCACCAAATAGAACCTCTCACACAGTGATCGGAGAGGCCATCAACACCCTCGTTCAAAAAGGGCATAACGCCAAAGACTACCAGCTGATCTCACGCGGAAATTTGCCTGGTCTCGTGCGTGTATTCGGCTTCACGTGTGTGTGTGTGTGCCAACCCGTCTCAAAGGGGCATCCACCACACGAGTTCTCCTAAATGTAATTAATTCAGAATGTCTAACTCACTAAGTTCTGTACAGATCTGCAGGGGGCGTACCTGCGAATTTTCCTAAGATCATCACGAGGTGTTTTCAACAATACTGTTCAGGCTGACTGTTCCACCCTTCCGTTGTGAGCAGGGCTGATGCAGGTCTTAGGTTCAGCGCTCTAAGCTGGTAATGTAATCACTAGAGTGGAACTTCACACCTGATTCTGCTCTTGCGAGCCTATATCCAAGTGTGCGTGTGTGTCTGTATGTGTGTATATGTGCATGGCAACGTACTGTAAGGTATTGTAAGGTAGTTAAATGACATGTAATGTAACGAAATGAATTGTAAATATAATGTGTTGTTTTGTTTGGCTTGGTTTGGTTTGGTTTTCTATGGTTTCGTTTGGTATTATGGTATGTTATGTAATGCAATGTATAATATATCCATATATGCATGCATGTCTGTCTGTCTGTCCGTCCGTCTGTCTGTGTCTGTTTTTTTCTCGGACCTTTTTGGTTCCTAGGCTTCAGCCTGGGGCGGTTTCGCCCGAAAACACAGCGGTAGCTGCGTTGTCTGCTGCCCTGCTGCACATGGTTTCTGAAGTTGTTTGCTAGCCTTCCAACCATGTTCCTGGATGATGGCGTGTCCCTTGCAGCTCTGGCAGTAGATCTTTTGTCCTCTCCTCCACAAATTATGTGTGGGGCTGCCCTGCCATTGGACATCAGGAGTCCATGGACCATACCAACAAGTGCTCTGGTGCATCTGTTGGATTTTCTCCCTTGCCGCATTTCGAAGGGCGCGCACGCCGCATTTCTGGCACACAATGTAGTTAGCCTGCTGTTGCAACAGGTGGCCCTCCTCGGTGTGCTCCTGCAGGATGCGGTTGATGTATTCCTGCTTGGTCTCCATGTTCGGTTCCCCACCTGTGATGGAAACGCCCACTGCTACCTCACACTTCTCATCTTTGGCTTCTTTCAAGGCCGGAAGAATGGTCATCCTTTGGTGGATCTGTTTTTTGCAGTGTCTGCACTGTGGGCCCCTGCCCTTTGCCATCCATTGGTGTCCTCCTTCATGTCCTGTGACCCCAATCTCGAGGTATAGCGCCTTCTTCTCGTCACGTGTTTTCTGACGAAGCTCTTTGCCCTTTGTCTTTTCCCCGTGAAGGAAATGATCCTGCGTTTCCAGGAGATACCGTATTCGTTCTGCAGCCATAGGTGCGTACTTCTTGTACCTCTGATCTTGCTCTTGGTATTCTTGCTCAAGATCACGCGGTTGTTTGGAAAGGGCGAACTCCATGGCTGCCCTGTTTGCGTCTTTGTATCTATTGCGCAAGGAAAGGCCAGTGGCTGGCATGGTGCTGATCTGCTTTTGTGTCACACTGAGGGCACGAATCCGTTGTCGTTGACCCCATGTCACCAAATTGGCCAAATCGTAGAAATGGTCGTAGTGATGCCCTTTGACCCAGGCCTGCCAGGCCTTCACTGAGAGCACGTGTACCCTCACCATATTCATAAGGTCCACATAATGTGCGATCATGCGGAGGGCGTAGTACCAGGCACGGTCTCGTGTTTGTCGTCCTGGCAAAACTGTGCTGATTGCTCCCATCCGATACATCTCACCGCCAAAGATGGTGTGGTGGAGGATGGTGACAACATAGTAGCGCAAACGGCTGTCGGTGCTCGTGGCGGCGATGCCTATGGTCAGCGCATCATGTCCTCTGAGGCTGATTTCATCCAGCCCTGTCCACGAGCCCCATGCCTGAATGGCCGCACCACCAGTCGATAACTGGTAAGCCGGCTTCTGTAGCAGTCCTTGTGACCAAAACTCCGTGTTCAAGCCTTGCTCGATTTCTGTTACTGCTTCTTCCGGTACTGGAGGGAAATGACGATTTGTCTCTTTGCATTGCCAAAGTAGGTGAATGGCATCAGCTGGCTTTTGGCAGTGCGGACAGATCAAATGCTTGCCTGCCTGGCTCTCGGAGGTCTTGGTGAAAATGGCCCCTTGATACCCTCTGTGGTATCTTCAGGACGTTCATCTTCTTGAGCTTGTTGCCGGCCTTTTTGCGGCGCTGCTTCATAGTTTTTATTCTCCTCAAACGACCAGCCGTGCAGTCAACTCCCAGATCCCTCATGATGTCGTGAACTTGAGGGCCTCCTGATGGAAGTTGTTGCTGTAAGAGTCTCTTGGCCTCAACATTTGATGCCACGAATCCAGTCTTCTTCTCGGAGATTTTGAGATCATCCTCCTCCAGCAGTTCTTTGATGTAGGTGTAGGCCTGGATTGCTATCCGGACTGCATTCTTGGTGTCACGTTCAATGACATCGAAGCTCAGGTCGTCTATCCATAGGTCCACATGGAGGAAAGGGTATTTCTTGCAGAAGGATTTGAGTGCCCTCTGCAAGTATATCATTGCAGCCAGCGGAGCTTGTGGATCTCCGGCAAGGATCCCATTGGTTGTCCACATGGGTGTCGAGGCTTCTCCTTCTGCTTCGAGTATCCGTGCGCCGCAATAGATCTGCATGGCAAAAGATGCATGGGTGCCTGGGTAGTTGGAGGTCATCCATCGTTCTTCCAGCTTTTGCAAGTTGATCCTGTCATAGAAATTCGACAGATCGAGGAGGACAGAGACCACTGTCTTCTTGAGCGCATGGTGGTGCTCTGTGAGGAATGCCCTTTTGAGGGCAACTTGCAGGCATTCTGTTCCTGGTACTGCTCGTTCCCAGGGATATTCATCTTCTAGCTGACTTTGCCATGCTTTGGTGTAGCTGTTGCGGATGCGGCACCATAGCCTGTACATTGTGGCTACCAGGGCTATGGGTCTTTCGATCTCCGTGGACTTCGGTAGCGTGGCAATCAAAGAGACCAGCCATTGGTTTGGCACTGTTCCATGCTCTTCAACCTGGTGGTAGAAGTCGACGATGCCTTCATGGCGCTGTAGGGAAGTGCTTTGAGGAAATCGAAGCCGATTCCGTCGAGTCCTGGTGCTTTTGTTGAGAGCAGTTTGATGGTCTTCCAAACTTCCTTCTCAGTAATGGGTTTCATTTGGGACGCATGCTCTTTTCCTTTTTGGATCATAGCCGGTAGGGAGGTCACCTTGTGTTGCTCTTCCCGTTTACCCCAAATGGCACCCCATTGCTGTATGCGTTGTTGCATCCTCTCTTCTCGAGGGAGTTGCTGGAAAGGCCGTAGATAGGGCTGTTCATCTTTCTTCAAACTGCGAAATAGTCCTCGATGCCCTTTCAGACTGGCCTGTGAGAGCCACTCTCTGTAGGTCTCGGTCTCCGCCATGGTGCTCTGTTGTTGGTGTAGCTCCCGTTGTTGCTTGGCATAGCTCAGCAGGGCTTGTCCATGATCTGGTTCAAATTGTCCCCACAACATCTGGTAGAGCATGATGAAGCCCTCCTGGGTGACTTGTCCGTCATCATGCCAGTGTTTTGCAATGTGCCACCCCAATTTTTGTAGCTGTGCCAGTTCATTGGGATGAATAGCTTTCTTCTCAATCACCTCTTAGAGTCTGAATTCAATCTGGTTCCAGAAAGAGAGGCTTCCCTTCTTCCAAAGCCATGGTTTGCTTGGATCACTCAATGGCTTGTGTTGGAACTGCAACCTGACGCCCCTTCCTGTGGTTGGCTTCTCTAAATGCTGTAGTACATAGTTTTCGATCTTCCCGTATAAAGCCCCTGCTTTCCTGCTGATGTTGTCATCCTCCATGTCCAACCATTTGACTGGCCTTTCTGTCGTGTCAAATTGCCCCCATTCTCTGGTTGGCTTGTCCATCTTTGGGGCGGGGTTGAACCTTGTCAATTGCTGCACCGTCATGTCCTCAACCTCGACATTCAACCGGAAGTTCAGTTGTCCATGTGGTTTGAAAGGAACCTCCCAGCAAACTTGCACCACCAGGTCCGGACTCAGCTGATTTGTAGCCAAGGCCCAGTCTAGTTCGTTCCCTGTGCTGCAGGTTTCTTTTTGTGTAGCTATGACTTGCATCTGCATGACTGTACCCATTGTGGTTGCCATGAACTCGCCAGGAGTGATGTTGAAGTCCCCCATGATGATGACCGGATGGTTGATGCTGGTCACAAAGGTGATGAGCCCGGCCCAAAGTGCTGCATTTGTTTTGCCTTGGACTCCATCTCCGCTCTTGAAATAGGCCACGATCATGATCAACTGCATGTTGTTGAACGTCCACATGCATGCCACCCAGCCGCACCCTTCAATCATCTGTTGATGAAGTTGATGGAAATGCATGTTTGCCGGATAGATGATCATGAGCCCCCCATAGGTGCCACCTTTCGGACTTTGCGCAGCCGGCTCTCCAAGCACCCCAAATCCTCTGCCACTAAACCATTGCGCCATCTTTTGGTGATCTTCAGGATCAAGATGAGTTTCAGCAACAAATCCCTGACCTTCAAACGACCATGTCAGTCACAGTCGATCATTTTTTGGCTTGGTCGACGTTTTTTCGGCGTGGTCGACGTTTTTTTGGCCATCGTCGCTTTTTTGGCTTTTTGCCTCCGCAACCAAAAAAGGTAAAAAAAAGATCACACTGGCTGTGAAATTGGTTGACCGTATTTTGGCAGGGGTTGACCGTATTTTGGCGGGGGTTGACCGTAATTTGGCGGGGGTTGACCATATTTTGGCAAGGGCGCTTTTCAGGGTGAATTCTGCAAACTATGAGGGAAGGAAAATTGAACACAGATCTTGCTTTCATGTTGGATTGGAGCTTTTTTGGTCTGGAGATGAATTACCATTTATTACGATTCAGCACCATACACTACAAATGCTTGACAAGCTTTAAATGGTCATACCTTTGTCCAGCTTTCTGGCCAATTTCTACTAGGATGATTGGCAAACACTCATGTTTGAACCTTTTGTTGTCGTGACTTGCTTGGCTCAAAGGGGTACCGACCAAGTGCGCTGGTGACGGGGCTTGTGCTTTGACTTCTCAAGGCTGCAATGCCGGGAATGGCCTTGCAGGGACTGGCCAACTCACGTGACTTCTGATCAGGGTGGAGGAGGCCCAACTGGACGTGCCTGGGGGTTGTCCACTCAGCTCCACACTGCTTCATCTAAAGATATTGGTAAGGCATATATATGTAAACAATGGTTTTTCAATCAATTTTTTGATTTTTTTTAGGTTTTTTGTTCACGTTGCTCGACGGTATTTTGGCAGGGGTCGACGGTATTTTGGCAGGGGTCGACGGTATTTTGGCAGGGGTCGACGGTATTTTGGCAGGGGTCGACGGTATTTTGGCAAGCTCTAGGTTTTCGTGCTCGTGCGATATACTTTCTTTTAATCAAATTTTGCAAAAACGTGCGTTTTTGATAAAACGCGCGGAAAAAGCGTACGCTTTTTGGGTTCCGGCAGGGCCAGAAAAGTAAAAATTAAGGGAACTCATGATCATCAGCAAAAAGCGTACGCTTTTTTGGTTCCGGCCGAACAAAATTGTAGCCGGAAAGGAGAAAAGAAAAGGAATGAGAGCAAATGTGTCTAGAGAAAAATATAATTTGAGGAGAAATGCAAAAAGCGTACGCTTTTTTGGTTCCGGCAGAACAAAATGTACGTGGAAGGGAAAAAGAAAAGGAACGAGAGCAAATGTGTCTAGAGAAAGGGAATAATTTGAAGAGAAAAGCAAAAAGCGTACGCTTTTTTGGTTCCGGCAGAACAAAATGCACCCCAGACATTGGAAGGTCAGGGAATATTGGTGTTCGTGGTCTGCCACCAATCCACTGTCGCACATTTTGCCCCATGTTCGTGACATTGGCAAAGGTGAAAGCCAACTGCGGTTGTTTCCTTCTTTTGGCCGCTGGCTCGTTGGTCTCAATATTTGACTGCTATGGTATGTTCTCTGGCAAGAGGAACTGTGATGGTATTGCCCATACTTGGACTATTTGCTGTTTGATGTTCTCCTGCAAGGACGGTAAAGCTCTTGGGTATGCACCATCATCAACTAGCCAGTAAAGTCCTCTGTAGACGAAGATGGCATAGAAGCGTCCGCTGTGATGAGCGTCTCCTGAATGGCAGAGTGATCCTATCAAGGAGTACTGTTCCGTGTCTGTGGTTTCTCCATCCAAGCATACTGGCAGTTGGAAAATGGTCGGCGCCTGCAAACTCTTGTGATGTTTTGTCCATTCACCTTGTCGGTGAGCATAGCGTCCTATTTGGGCCACCCATAAGCCTCGACCAGCCAGAACTTGTCCTTCAGCTGTGTTGGCCCAATTTGAGATCAAAGTCTCAAACTCTTCTCCCCCATCTTCTGGGAAAATGAGGTGTGTTGGGAATGCTGCCCTGAGATGTGCTTCTTGTCGGTAATCGACAATCGACATGATGATACTGCCTGATGACCCTCTTTGAGTCAGCTAGTTCCACCAGCTGTTGCAAGAAATGTGCTGCATCATCCTGCACCGCCTCATTGAAGGTCTCCCATAGAGGTGCCAGGGTCTCTAAGGTCGTGATGTTTACCACTCCCACATCCCCCAGCGCTTCTTTGACTGCCGCTGTGGTGTTGCTCCAGAGTGAAGGCCCACTCATGAAGCTCCCTGCCCATGCCCACAAACGGAAGGGTCCGTTTGCAAAACATCGGTTTCGATAGTTCCCCAGTCTGCACTGAAGATTCTGAACCACAAAGTCGAGACTGTTGCAAGTCTCGTCTGCATGGCCTGTGTCAGACCTGGGTGCATCTGCTCCCATGTCAGGTGATGCCATAGGAGAAAATTCGGCGTCACCTTCTCCTTCTCCCCCACAAAAACTCGGGAACTGCGCTGTCCCCTCGGTGCTGCCCAGCCGCTTCTCACAGGCTGGGTTCCCCCATGAGGCTGTTGGAACGCAGGTTTCCCCACCCACATTGCCTGAGCCAAAAAACCCCGAAGTGCTGTTGTCCGAAAAATCCATGCCCCTAAGATGATCCAGCTGTTGGTGTTCTCGGTTGAGGTTACCCACACTTCCTTCTTTTCATCACGTTCTCTCGGAGCTTCTGGGCAAACTCTTTGATCTGCTCTTGGGATGCTGTGAGACCAATGCTAGTCATCACAGTCAGCAGGTTTTCTGCTGCTAGCTCCTCAGGAAGTTGTGGGTCTTCTTCGACTTGCTTGTCTTTCTCAAGTTGCTGGTTGTATAGTGTTGTAGTCTCTTGCAGCTCCTTTTGTGCCGCCTCAATCTTGACCTGCGTGTCCTTGAGCTCTTGTAGCAAGGCCGTGTACTGCTGCTTGATGTTGTCCGCTTTGGTTTGTATTGCCGCTTTCTTCTCCGACAACTGTTTCAAGGTGCCCACTGCTTGCTTCAGCTTCTGATTCAGTGGAGGTTCTGCCTTCTGAGGTTCAATGATCTTCTCCACTTCTTCTTTCAGTTCGGTTGGCAAGCTCTGCAAATGCTCCTTGATCAGTGTAGGAAGATCAGGAGGTGTGGGTGGCTCACTCCCTTTCACCCCCAGGTCCTCGAGTTGCTTCCGCAAGGCCTCCGGGAGGGTTGTCCAATGCTTTTGGAGCTTTTGTTCAATTCCTTCGTTTGTCTTCTTTGAAGGTTTGCCTCCATGAAGTCCCGGCGGTGGTGAAATGAGTGCTTCCTTGTAGGTCTTTTTCGGCCATCTTTGTCCTCGTGGTGTGAAGTTCCATTTGGCCCACTCCACTTGGCGTCGACGTAGATCTGGGGCCATCTGCTGTTCCCATCGCTTCCCGCACTGATTGCAGCAAAGGTCATGCTTCTGAATGAGCCTGTCGGCCCAGATCCATGCCTGTTTGCAGCTTTTGCAAACTTGGTAGTGTCGTCTCATGGCCACCTGCCTCCTTCTCCAAAGCGATGTGCTCGGTCTCGCATGGTGCCCTTCAAAGGCCCGGACCGGACCGCTTTGAGCCCAAAACCTTGAGCCTATACTATACTTGAGCCTGTCTGTATATGTATATGTACATGTATATATATATATATTATCGTCATAATTATAATATGGGCTTCTTGTCAGCCGCTACTCAATTATATAAATATCAGTTGCAAGTGCACACAAAAGAAGGATTGCTCCCTCCAGACTAGTATGTAGTCTGCGGTTCATGTACATGGATTCTGTCCGAGGGTGAATTCCTGTCCCAGAATATTAGCGTAGAAAATGTCTTTTCATCTATATAGACAGGAATTGGCAGGATCCCAAAACTCCAAGCAGTACAACCAAACATGAGGACTGAGACAGCATCGCAAGAGACTCTGGGATCTACACCAGAGGCTGAAAGCTCCTAAGGGATGGAAAGATCAAAAGAACACGCAAGCACTTCGTCTTCATGTGTTCAGCACACACGAAGCGCAACATTAGCACAAGTGTGCAAGCTCGATGCACCTGGACGGAGGCGGTTCGGTTGCATGAGGTGCCCAAATGGCACCTGGCATGACTGGCAGGGGCTCATGAATGAGAAACGACACCTGGCACAGCATCATCTTGCTTTTAAGGCGATGCCTGCGCTCTGTCAGGCGCATACTGTCATGTTTGACCTGAAATGCCTGCAGGCGACCTTGAAGCTCACGGAGCTGCTGCATGTGAATGTGTGTGTGTGTGCTATGAGAATATGAAAATGCGTGGACTTGATTTGATTAAATTGACATCGCCCCAAAGCCAACGCATCTTTTTCAACTGTGGCGCCTTCAGCCCACAGGTAGCTAGCCTAGCAACCTAGTCACTGCGCTTCACTGCAGCCTTGGTATAAGAGACAAATTATAGAACATTATTAATGATATCAAAGCAGGATCACATGATCTTGCCTGTTTTTCATTGATGGGCGCTCGAAGTTTGTTACTCCTTTGGCTGCCGCCATCTTCTCCTGGTACCTGGTGTGAAGCAGGTCCAACAGAATGTTTGGCCTCAACTTGTCTTGAAATTGCACTCGCCACGCCCAAGAAATGAATGTGTATGAGAACCACAGAAGAAACACAATACAAATGGATTCTACGAATGTACAAGTATTATACTATGTAGATCTATGTATATGAATAATTGTGAATACGTAGTGTCTTCACAAAAGCTTTCTCCGGCCTCTGAACTACTTTGGAGCTTTGAGACCATGCCGCAGACATGTCTGTGGTGTCAACATCCGTCAAATGTGAGTGCTTTACCTGACAGGAACCCGACAGACAAAAGGAGTGAATGGGCCAAAGAAGGGCCGAAGCGCCGAAGATGAGCTGAAAGTGTGTGTGTGTGTGTGTGTTTGTTTGAGGAAAAAAGACATCCAAGGACTTGACCTGCCCCTTTTTGCCGAATTCTCCTCTTCTCAACTGCATTGCTTTGGGCAAAAGGTTCTTGTCGTACCTCATATGCCACAGGCCGCCACGGGACTAAAACCGAACAAATTGGTAATCGAGATGGGCACTTCTCTTCTTCAAGCGGTTCATGGTAGTCGCGCAAATAGAGCCTAGGACAAGGACCACTAGGATGTCATAGACCCATATCCACCCCAATGCATTTGATATTGTCCAGTTTCTACTGGGATCAGAACGCTTCTTCCCCTGATGCTGCTTTGTCCTGAAGGGTGCCACTGTGCCATAGCTTTCATTCCAAGCCCAAACCTCACCTGGAAGAAGCCACCACGGTGATAGTACTTCCTGGCTGCATAAATAGGGAAAACATATTTAAAAAAAGACTGTTATTTTTAGGAGCTTTCTCGGTTGCAGTGGTCTACCAAGTGTGACAAGCTGCTGCAGGAAGTTGAACTGCTTCACATCAGCCCTTTTGGGATTCGCTGCATCAAGCCTGCAAATCACAAGCACACCAGTTGAATTGGGCGAGAAGGCTGAGCACCAACCGAAGAGGTTCCTTGCATCATCTTTGGCTCGCTCTTCATCAGTCATTTGCCTTCGCCTTGTACACCAGAAATCTCTGAGAAATCATGACAATTTCAGAGCCACTGAGATTCCGCAAACATAAGCGACATGCAAAACCTCTTATGTGTTGTAGTGCGCACTCTTCCCAAGGTTATCGTTTGTTTTTTTTCTGTGAACCTTATCGTTCCTGAGGGTTTGGACACACCTAACAACATGTACTAAAACCTTATCGTTTTTTTTCTGTGAACCTTATCGTTCCTGAAGGTTTCCTTCACTTTACTTACTTAGTCTTCACTGTAGTGATGCTGCCTTCATCGGCAGTTGTTCATATCTACATCGTAGATTCGATCTATGTTGCATGGGCTGTGCATGGATTGCATTGTATGCTATCATGGAATTATGGAGCAAAGCATTCCAGCAAATTGCTCTTCTGACAGTCGAAGAGGCGCTCAAAATGCCAAAACAAAGCATTGTGGGAAAGAGCCAAGGACAGGCCCTTTCCGGTATCAATCTGGCATTGTAAATCTTCATTGTGGTGTATTTCGGTGGTATGGGTGGTAATGGTTTGTCTTTTGATTAGCAGTAGCCAGATCCTTTTGTTCTTGTATTTGTCCTTGTTGCTGTTGTTCTTGCTGTTGGTAGAAACAAAAAACAGGTGCCCAACACAATGCTAATCGCAAGTTGTGATCTGGAACTCTAGGGGTATATGATGGTGTCTCAAGTAGCTAACTTTGTCAGTCTGTGTTTGGTGTTATAAGTTGTTCTGTTGGGGGAATCGAACAACAGCCCTTCAGTCTTTGTCCCTAGCAGAATTAGCAGAATGTAGAGATTCCTTTGCAACTGACGCACAAACAAACGGAAATACCATTACTGCTATGATCAGAATTACCTCGGCTGCTACTGCTCCTCCTCCTGCCGCTACTGCTACTGCTACTGCTCCTGCTCCTGCTCCAGCTCCTGCTCCTCCTCCTGCTGCTGCTGCTACCTACTCTCCTACTCCTACTGCTCCTACTACCCTACTCCTACTACCCTACTCCTACTACCCTACTCCTACTACCCTACTCCTACTCCTACTCCTACTCCTACTACTACTACTACTACTACTTCCTATTGTATCACCTAGATCAATATTGTCATGTTGCTATAGTTGGCAAACTGTATATACCCAACATTGAGTGGCAGTGCCCTATTCCATCTGAATCCCTTTTGCATCCAAATCTTTTCTCTGCTGCAGCAATATGCAATGTAGTGAGCTGAGTGATGCTAGCGGTGAAGGCTGCTGAGCACCCTCCTCATGATAAGAGCAAAACATTCGGTTCACGGTCTGCTGTAGCTGAACCTTTTCCTACGCTTGGCATTCGCAAGGATGAGCTGCAGTAAAAGTCTGGGTGGCATACTTGAGGACAAACTCAATCTCTTTTTGTCTTTGCAAGCGCTCCTTCATACCCCGCACTGCGAACAGTTTAGACATACTCCTGACATTTTGTCTTCGTCTTCTATTTGGTTTTCACTTTGTTTCCGCTTGGTCTTGGTCTCCTCCTTATCTCGCTTGATTCTTTTCAGCTCACGGATCTTCCAAAGCTCGTACCTGGGAGTCAGCTTGCCTTTCAATGTCCATTTCGATGCAAGAAAACAACATGAACATGTTACTACATGCTCTCCTAACAATTCCCCACAAGAAAAGAGAGAATGTAGTAACCCTCTAGACCCGGGTGTGTGTTGCCCATGTTTGCTTCATCCTGGCTCAAAGCGGAAGCCGCTTCTTCCAGCATATAAGTTGAAGTCCAGAGTAGTCTTCAATATCAATAGACGTTCAATAAAATAGTAGGATTAAATAGTGCTACAGTAAAAAGAAGTAGTTCACTGAATACTATTCCGGGATATTCTTGGCTACGCCTGGAGTTCTAGGGGTCGCATCTGTCGCATCTGGAGAGAGGCACTCTTCTGCTTCGTTCTTCTCATCGTCATCATCCAGCAGCTCGATGTCAGAACGATCATCCTCTTCTGCTGCAAGTCGTTCAGCCTGTTGATTGCAAGGTTGACATCCAGAAGTTTGGTACCGTACTGTTGCTGCCTCGGCTTCCTCCTGAATCTTATCGATGAGTAAAACTTTGGACTCTGCCTGTGGGCAGTTCAAGAGGCGTTCACTAGCTCTAGCACGTCATAAGGGATACAAGCTGACAATGGACTCACACAAGCATTGCTAAGCATAACAAAATTGAGTGCCAGTGCCTTTCGTTCAAGTGCGCGGACTTCCTTCTTTCTCCGAGCATCTTCCTCCTCCTTTTCTATCATCTCCTGATGGGTCCAGACCGGTTCTTCTATCCTGTCAAGTCCTCAATCAAATCAGTAGATACAGCTGCTAGACCGCGAGCAGCTCCTTCTCCCGGACAGTTTCTCTATTCGCCTTGGTTGGTGTGTTTTTGTCATTTTAAGAGAATCCTGCATGCTTTGCGGAGGAGTACTGCATACTCACATGAGGGATTGACTAAGAGTATTGGTGATATTCTGCGAAGGATGGCTGAGCAAGTAAGGCTGAGCGGACTGCTTGTGCTGCTGCGGGGTTCGGTGTGGTTTCGCCCTTCGCAGTGCGACTGCGAATGGTGAATGAGCTGATTGAGATGCCTGATTAGGACAGGAGATTTCAGAGCCTGGCCTCCCATTTGGGTCATTTGGGAGTGCTTTTCAATTCTTTTCATCTAGAGCCAAGAGAGCTGTACTTTGAATACGGAGCTCTGACTCAAAGCGATAGTCTGAGCATCTCTGGCCTCTCTCAGCCTGAGAGGATTTGAATAAGACAATCGTGTTCTCAGGAGTCTTTAATAAAACACCTTCATGGCACCTTTGCTTGTGGAAGCCCTCCAGGAAATCTTCACTTCAATGCTTCGGAATCAGGTTGTGTCACCTTCAGTTGTTTAGATCGTTAAGATCGTTTTGGTTGAACCTCCAAAATTGGAGCCTGGGAACTTCAAAGTTGGAGAAGCTCGAGTGATATCAGGGAAATGACTAACTTGCTCAGCGCACCACCTCAGCGTGTTCTGTTGTGTGTGGGCTAAAGCCAAGCTCCAACACCATCAGAGAAGGAGCTTGGATGTTGACCATTAAAATACCCATCCAAATAAGCAACTAAAGAGTGATGTTGAATGGGGGGTACCATACGTATACTGTATATTAAAAAACAACGGTTGTCAGTTATCATCTGAGTTTTGCGCGATAGTAAATTGACATAAATAAAGGACCAGCTCATCTTGATCTGTTTGTAAACCCCTCTGTTGCAGTTTGCATCAACATCTAGCCTAGCCTACTTGGAGCACTGAAGCTTAAGAGTGGAATGCCGCCACCGGTGGATGGCCATTCCATTTGCCCCTAAACCACCCGTGTGTAGACAATGGCACACATAAACGGGATGAAGAAGCAACCGCTTTTGCAAGAGGAACACCCGCCGATCCTTCTCTGCAGTCTGCAACCGCACAGTTGGTCTGAAAAAGCAAGAAATCAAATCCTTTGCACAAGAAGCCTCACCAAGAGCTCAGTCAACCCTTGTGACACCGACGAGCAAAGACAATCACCTCCTGATGATAACCTTGAAGTACAGGACAGCCCTAGAACAACCTGGAAAAAGAAAGCGGTATCAAAAGAAGTGCCTTGTAACTTATATACTCATTGCCTCATCGCTACTTATATATACTTATAACTTATAACAATGTCGAAATATGTTCTTGCTTTTGCACCAACAAGTCCAGCTTGCAGTACAGGTAGGAGAAGCTGTGTACAGGTCAGACATTCCTTCCAAGCTTCCTTTGACTCAAGATAGAGAGAGAAGGGAGTGAAACCAAAGATGGAGGCGCAGTTGGCCAAATGGTTAAAGCTATCTTTGACAAGCTAAACTTGAAACAATCAGTCTGTTCACGTCTGTTCACAGCAAACATGGAATCCCAATTCAACAAATTGCAAGAGGCTAACAGCAGTTAAGGCCTTGAATGAGACACACTCCTCAGTTCAAAGCCTTCGACACGAAGACTGGTTTCATCAAGGGACCACGCCTCCACAGCAGAAGTGTGACCAAAAAGGAAGAGGTCTATCCTTCCAGACTTTGGTCTTTGAAGCTTGTACCTTGGGTCATCTTCTTCAGATTCAGATTCGTACTCGCTCTCCTCTGCAACTTCCTGGACAGCTGACGACTTTTTTACGTCAAGCATTACTGTAGATTCTGACCAAGTCTGACCATCCTTACAGTATGCGATCGCACCATTCAAACCGCACCTCCTGCTCTTCTTCCAGTTCCACCTGATAGCTTTGAGCTTGGTGCAGGCTGACCTTCTAGTTGCCCAAGACTGCCTTCAAGACGTCCTCTTCAATTTTCCGCTTCGACAAAGCCTTCTCCCGCATCTTTTCTCGGCCTAGGTCAAGAAAGTAAAGTGATCGCATATTTGCGCAAGGTGGCCCAAGGTGCTTGGAGAGCAAATCGAAAAGGTGCGGACGAAGTTGTCGAATTTCCAAATCCTCATCCTCTTCGTTGATCTCGAAACTCAACTGCGGAACAGCGACACTAACTCTATCATCGTGTACCTATCACCTATAAGAATTTGGCCATGCTGACACAGGTTGGCTCTGCCTCCGCCACCCCAGGCTTCAAATCTAAGTCCAACTCCTCTTTCAAGACCTCTTTCTTCTCCTTAGCACAATGCTAAACATCAAGCGCCTCTCCTGTGTGTTGATTCAGAATGCACCTCGGTGACATCTGCTTCATCTTTTGGTTCGGCTTCAAGAATAACTGCTTCTTCAATTCGACGGTGTCGCAACAGCCTCTACAAGATATTGCCAACATTTGCCAACTATGGTACCTAGAGTGACTAGTCCAGTGTTTGTCGACTCTGATCTGTATGCGCAAGCTGCCAGCGCCTCTCTGTGCCGGTCTCACCCTTTCTTTCTTCCTCAGTTTACAAATTTCATCCCCTTGAAGACAACTTTCATCGCGGCTTGCATAAATCTTTGTCCAAGGCTGCGGCCCCTGTCTCAGACCGCTGCAATCGAGCTAACCGGCTGCTAGCACTGTCTGCCTCTGAGGGCCAAATTGTGGTCGCCAACAATTTGCAAATTTGAAAGTTCTCAAACAAACAAAACACTGCAAAGACAGAAAACTGTAAACTTGGCCTCGAGGACCACGGCGGCAGCTTGTCGTCGTCGTTTGGCCTGACATGCATGCGCCAACTACGAAGTGTCAGGTTGGGGGGTGCTGATGACTATAGCACGCACACGCACGTTATTGATACCCTGTCACGACGCAAATGCGCACGACCGATTGGTGTTGCATTTGCTGCAGACTGTTCTTATGTGTTTTCCATGCAGCCTTTTTGTTCCAAAGGTCGAAGTTGACCTCAAAGAAAATCCCTGATTTGTTTTTCTCAATTCCAGGTTGATGGCAAGTTCAACGTACATCAGATCCTGGCAGTGGAGGCACCAACATGCCTTGACCACGGACTTGGCAAAAGCCACCGCAAATGCGTTGGCACAAAAACTCGAAAGAAAATCCACGGCGAAGGCGGTCGCACATTTGTTTGCATGTTCTTGTGGGGAAGAATGCAAAGCCTTCAAGAAAAGATCCAAATTTGGAGGTGAGACACAAACGCGAACGCATTGCAAAAACCATCACAAAAAAATAACAATATGTACCAAAGTAACTGTAATATGCTGTAATGATTTCAGGGCATTCACTAAATAGAAATGATTGAAAACATCATTTTGTTCGGCCTTGGAACAGACACAATTAAGACAGCCGCACGGAAAGTTTTCCTGTCAGTGGGACGTTTAGTTTCCTATGTTTCTTAGAAACAGAACAGGGGGCTGTGGTAATGCGCATTTTGCGCATGTTCTACCTATATATTCAATCTTGCACTGTTATCTCGTACTACTATCTCATTTTGGTCTTAATGTTGCGTGTGCTAAGAAGGCTACAGCGTGACTCTTTGCATTTCTGTCTGTGTGACATAGTCACCAAACCCAAACAAAAAGATCAGCCCATGGGATCTGCCCTTCAGGCATTGGTTTATTTTTCATTTTTTGGTTTGCTAAGGAAAGATATGGTTATACTAATTTGTAGTGCATAGAAAATATTTCAAACCATTGTAAATACTGCGGTTGTGGCTGTACATTGAATGTTAACTACAAAAACATATCAACAAATTTGACAACGCAACGGGTTAACAATGAAAAACACACATGAGATAACTGCATTGCAGAACTTGTGGGCTTAATATATGCAACTCACTATATTCAAATGATACTGTGAAGGTAGTATGTAGTTTTAATGTTTGTTTTACTGTAGGTGTATAAAAACAATGGACATACTTAGTTAATAAGTATGAAGGACTGACAGAAGAAGAGTCAAACATGGGTATTTTGTTAAGTTCAGCCCTCTACCGTCAAGAACGATCTTCAAAACATGGTTTATCCGTGTTTGGTCTTTGGTTGATCAAGAGATAAACGTCAAAATATTAAGCACCCGTACAATGAACTATGAATTGAAAGAACCCCGGAATCTCCAAACGAATATAATCAGGGATATTCCGCAAATAGTATTCAATATACATGGTAGCGGGTATAAACAGCTAGAAACTTACAAATATTTGATGATGTGGTTTAAACGTTGTATTTAAATTTTGTATACCCAAATAGAAAAACAAGCTGACTTGATTGCAATGTTTTCAAACTACCTAAATAGCAAAATCCTAAGGGCCCGCAACTTAATTTTGGATTCTTTTGTTTTCCCGAAAGCATTGCGAAGGGTTCTTCCGGAAAATCTCTTGAACACTGACACTTCTACACTGACACTTACACTTGAACACTGACACTTCTACACTTACACTTGAACACTTACACTTCTACACTTACACTTGAACACAATGGCACAGAAGTATCCAAGTGCAAGTTTGTTTGTAAGTGTGAGTATCCCAGTGTGAGTGTAAGAGTGAAAGCATGAGTATCCCAGTGTAAGTGTAAGAGTGAAAGCATCCAAGTGCAAGTATGCAAGTGTAAGTATCCAAGTGCAAGTATGCAAGTGTAAGTATCCCAGTGCAAGTATGCAAGTGTGAGTATTGAAAACTTTCACGGGAGATGCCCTAATGAAAAACATTTCCACACTTTATAAATTCTCTTTAAAGGCGGAGGGTGGGACGAACAGCGTCAACCGAAAATGCAACCCTCTGCGGAGATCGTGCGTGTTGAGGGAACGAAATGCAGGCGAGAGTGCGATTTGTCCGGCGCGCGCGCAACCCTCTGCGGAGATCGCGCGGGTCGAGTGCGCGAAACGCAGGCGAGAGTGCGAGTTGTCCGGCGCGCGCGCAACCCTCTGCAGAGATCGTGCGCGTCGAGTGCGCGAAATGCAGGCGAGAGTGCGATTTGTCCCCTGCGCGCGCAACCCTCTGCGGAGATCGTGCGGGTCGAGTGCGCGATTTGTCCCCTGCGCGCGCAACCCTCTGCGGAGATCGTGCGTGTCGAGTGCGCGAAACGCAGGCAAGAGTGCGATTTGTCCGGTGTACGCGCAACCTTCTGCGGAGATCGTGCGTGTCGAGCGCGCGAAATGCAGGCGAGAGTGTGATTTGTCCCATGCGCGCAACCCTCTGCGGAGATCGTGCGGGTCGATTGCCCGAAATGCAAGCGAGCGCGCGATTTGCCCCACGTGCGCGTAACCCTCTGCGGAGATCGTGCGGGTCGAGTGCGCGAAATACAGGCGAGAGTGCGATTTATCCCATACGCGCACAACCCTCTGCGGAGACCGTGCGGGTCGAGTCCGCGAAAAGCAGGCGAGAGGGCGACTTGTCCCAAGCGCGCGTATCTGCAGCTGGAAGATGAGAACTGGCGACTTTGTAGTACAACTGTAGTGCGTGGAGTGGCTGGGGAGCTGGAAGATGAGAACTGGCGACTTTGTAGTAAAACTTTAGTCTGCGCGGACCACCTGGGGAGCTGGCAGCTGAGAACTGGGGTCGTCGAAGGACAACTTTAGTAGGCGGAGTCGTGGAGTATCTGGCGAGCTGGAAGATGAGAACTGACTTGGTAGTACAACTTTAGTATGCGGAGTAGCTGGGGAGCTGGAAGATGAGAACTGGCGACTTGGTAGTACCAGCAGCAGATATAGACACACGCACAGACAGGGACTCATACACACACAGACATAGATAGACACACACACAGAGACCCACACACTGCCTCAACTCACTCGACTTAACACTTCACACTGAACACTTAACACGCAACTCACACTCTGACTTCCTACGTGATGAAAAATGCTTTCGGGCCACTCGTCGTCTAGTTTTTTGTTTTTCGTGTTTCGTGGCAGGTGCAGTACTTTGTGGACCTTGCAATGCGCATTTCGCGCCCTTAAAGTGCAGATTTCGTGGCAGGCGCAGTACTTTGTGGACCTTGAAGTGCAGATTTCGTGGCAGGCGCAGGACTTTGTGGATGTGGAAGTGCAGAGTTGGTGGCAGGTGCAGGACTTTGTGGGCCTTGGAGCGCAGATTTCGTGGCAGGCGCAGGACTTTTTGTGGACCTTGAAGTGCAGATTTCGTGGCAGGTGTAGTACTTTGTGGCCCTTGGAGCGCAGATATCGGGGCAGGCGCAGGACTTTGTGGACCTTGAAGCGCAGATTTCGTAGCAGATGCAGGACTTTGTGGATGTGGAAGTGTAGAGTTGGTGGCAGGTGCAGGACTTTGTGGGCTTTGGAGAGCAGATTTCGTGGCAGGCGCAAGAGACCTTGAAGCGCAGATTTCGTGGCAGGTGTAGTACTTTGTGGATGTTGAACTGCAGATAGGCAGATAGAAATATAGAAAGATAAATGGATCGATAGATACACAGATAGATAGATAGATGGATAGAGGAGGCATATTTGCTTGTTCAGAAAGTTTTGCGCCGGGGAGTTCACCTTAAAATATTGATTTCGTGGCAGGCGCGGGTGTCGGGCTGAAGTGCAGATTTCGTGGCGTGGGGGAGGTTGGGGGGGGCGCAGCGCCCCCCCCAGCAGCACACCCCATCCAAAGTTGAGCAGCTCGCGCTTGCTTGCTTGCTTGCTTGCTTGCTTGCTTCCTTGTTTGGTTTCGTCTCTGCAAAGCAAACAAAAGGAAAAGCAAAAGCAAAAAGATAAAGGAGAACAGCTGCGAAAAAGAAAGACAGACAGACAGAAAGAATGAAGGAAGGAAGGAAGGAAGAAAGAAACAAAGATAGATAGATAGATAGATATAGATATAGACAGATAGATGAAGACAGATAGATGGATAGGCCAAAAAACCACCAAAAGCCCCAAAAGCCACAGAAGCCACGAAAGCCAAAAGCCACAGAAGCCACAGAAGCCACGAAAGCCAAAAGCCACAAAAGCCAGAAGCCACAGAAGCCAGAAGCCAGAAGCCACGAAAAACAACAAAATCCAAGAAAGAAAACAAGACAATAACATTAGACACATACCTTCAAAAACACCGTACATTTGAACAATTTGTGAATTTTGTCAACAACTCTTTCAAGTTCTGGTTCTCAATGCAAAAGATGAACAATGAAAAACACTTTTACTAAACATGAAACTGCGAGGCATAATTGTGGAACCTTTTGAGTTGCTTAAAATTTTCTACAACGTGGCATAAGGTAGAAGCCTATGAGAAACAAGAAAGAAGGTCATGCTCACAGCGCGCCGCTCTCCAGAACAGGACGCAATCTGCGCGCGCATGCGCAGTTAAACAATTTCTTAAAAGCAGGGGGCGAGCTGGTGAGAGGGTGGAGTGAGTGGGGGGTTCCCCCAGAGTGGCAGTGTTGCTTTGAAACTGGACCTAGTCGAAAACACCAAGTATGCCCAAAGCGGTAGTCGCCAAACGTTGAAGTGAGCTCGGACTCTTCTATAGCTGCGACAGTGCGCGCGAGCTAAATCTTGATCCAAAAGTACAAGTGAATTAAGCTGGAAAAGGTGCTACACACGTATAGCGTAGACACGCCTAGGGGGACCCAGGACACTACAAATCACACATAGACACAAATTAATTCTCTTCGCGTCGGAGCTTACAGGCACAAAAGTTCAGGCAATTGAACTAAAACTCTCATCTTCGCGAGAACAAACCGTAGACGCCATTCTGGCTCTTCAGGGTGGGCGCGAAAATCAGCTCCTAACAAATCTATGTACACGGCGCCAATGCATAGACATCCCGTATAGTATCGGT